GTTGTATCAATCATGCATTTATCGTTGGGAAACAAGTTGACTGCTTTTATATTTCTTTTATCCAAGTGCTTGTTGTAATATTTGTCTTCGGTAAAATAGCTGAATTTTTTAACAGAGAGAGTAAAGGACATAATCAATCTCCTTAATAAATAAAATTATTTGACTTCATTAGTGTACAATAAGGGAAAAAAAAACAAATCGTTACTACATTATCATAATGGATGGAAGATGACTATTAAACTTGTGTTACCGTAATATCACGTATACCAACGACATCCACCATAAAATGAATCATAGAACATTTATGACTCCACACGTTCTCAAGAATCAACATTTATAGAGTCCACCGTATGGATAATAAAAGCTTACGAGAATTCTTGCAAAGCCATTGCCCAACAGAACTGATATTGTGTTAATAGCTAGATCGTTAAACAAATCGATCCTTCATCAGACTGGAAGCTTCCGTCTTTATCTCTAGCAGTCTTTTTAGCAAGTCTCAGTGGCTAAAATAAAGAAAAAAAAAAAANGATTAGCCAGAGCTGAGACGCTTCTCGTGTGCGAGAGCTCATAATTGCCTCAAGAATTTTACGAGATTTCGGCGTTTTGCGGGTGGAAGGGAAGCTTGTCTTGCTTGTATCGCCGAAAAACCATTAATCATTGAGCCAGAGATCTCTAGCAGTCTTTTTAGCAAGTCTCAGTGGCAAAAAAAAAAAAAAAAAAAAAAAAAAAAAAAAAATGATTGGACCCCCAGTAGAGCGGAATGTCTAGTTTTCGGAGCGCGTGTGCGTTCGCCACGGGTGTCCTTCCACGAACCGGAGAGTAAAAAAACTACGACAAGGAAGTATGATTCCGCTACACGTACTGTTGCGGTATTTTCGCGAAAGTATCGGCTGCGAAAACGCTACTCACATGTGTAGAGAAGAATGCGGTCGTTGCACTTGTTTAATTGGCGCCTACTTTGTGCCAAGTTGAAAAATCTCACGATGTATTTAATGAATTCGAGGACACGTTGTTGGAACTTTGGCTTTTATATTTAAGCTATTCTGGTATTCCCATTGCTCTTTTGTGTACAAACCTAATAATGTAAGTGATAAGCTTATCAGAGTGGAACCTTAATTTGGTCAGCAATTCACAATCACAACTTATGGTAATCTATGAGTAACATGATGTCTATAAAATTGATTGACAAACTGAACGGAGATATTAGTATTGTACTGACTGTACAAAGGTACCTAAATATCATTTTTCTGTTTCCTAGCGTAATCTTTGTAACGGTAAAACATTAAATTTTAGAAAAATATATCAGTAACAATTCTTGTAGACTTTAACGTAGAAATGCATCAGTTTTTTAAACCGCTTAGCTGTCTTGTTTTTGTGTGGGTATATTTACGTCTACGTAATCAGTTATACCTCAGAAATCATTCGGACAGTTTTTATGATCTACGACATAGGTCCAGATTTATAGTTCATAGTGTACTATTTAGAACAACTAACTATTACAAATCAAACCAAACAATACATCAACATTAATTAATTCGAGAACGAAATGCAATTTTAGGTCATAAAACGTTAAAAGCAGTTAACGAAATACAACTGAAATCGTACAACATATTGTTTGGATAGGATCATTAGGGGCTGTGTAAGACGTTGGAATATCAGGAGAGATGTGGTCAATGGGTGGGTAACAATATTGCCCTATACGAAACAATTCTAATGGATGAAGATAACATACGTATTTTTACATGTGTAGATTATACTCTTTTATATAACTTAGAAATCAGTACAGAGCTTTTCTCATTGCTTTTATTTTCCCCTATTGACCCACAATACCTCCTTAGGCCTCCCAGACCTCTTTCCAGATCCCTATTACCCATCCCACACAATAAGGAAAGATTTAACTGTTGTTTCGGTTCATTTTAAAGGTGCCAGAAATATTCGAATTAACTTTGTCTATTAATGAAAAAATTCTAGATTACTAGTGCCAATGATGGTAAAAATTGCATTAAACCTCGTGAGTGGAATAAAACTGCATATTTTCTCCTTTTCCCATACAAAATGCTCATTTTTCTCCATGAAAAAATATAAAAATAATCATCGCTGAGTATACACATAGATGCTTTTACTTGGTTCAATCACACGTGGTACTAAATTAGTTATCCCAATCAGCATAAAACCGCAGATGGTTCCTGCTGTTCAGTTATCCAATCGCCATAAATGCTCGGTGAGTTAATGAAAATAAAAAAAAAAATAAAAAAAAAATTGAAAAATAACTGAGCAATATGAACCCAGCCCCTAGCGCAATAAATACGTAGGCACACAAGTGTCTTATGCGAGAAGGACATATAGACAGCCGGGGGAGCGCAAAGGCAAAAAACTTGCTCAAGCCACAGCATCGGGTCTCCCTCGTCACGTTGCGCCACATAGCTACAGGGCCTTCCCCATTCTTCTCTCTCTCTCTCTCTCTTTATCTGTCTCCCGTCATTGCATAGGATTCGTTACGCGATAGGTCACGCGCGCTTTCGCGATTCCCCAAGAAAGTCTCGGCCCGTGATTCACTTCCTCCTCTCCTCCCCAACTCCGCTGTACCTGCACAACACGTATCGCAACGTACACTCGAGCTCCATTGTTTTAATTAGCAGCTCGCGGCTGCGGCATAGTGGTACTTTTATAGCTGTCGGGAATCGGAAAGAAGACCAGCCTGTCGGAGGAGAAATCCTCTGATAGGCGGGTATAGGGGCTTACAGCGGTGAATCTCTTTTCCGTTTTTTTTTTTTTTTTCCTCTGACGCAACTGTGCGCCTATAGTTTTTGGCGGTTTTTTTTTCCCCCTCCTCTCCAAGGACCGCGTTGATTCGAGGAAGTTATTGCGAATATCACTCCGTGACGGAACACTTTACTTTATTGATTGATGGATTTCACTGTATCCGGAAATTAATTATGAAAGTGGCAGGACTGCTTGCAACGCGAAGAGAATTTCATTTGAAAAACAGAACTTTTGTTTAGCGATAAAATTTTATTATTTCTTAATCGGTATATTGGTTCAGGCGTCATCGACGTTTTTTTTTGGTTTGGAATCGAATTACTTGATACCTGCTTCAGATCGCTTGAACGATGATGAAATTTCATTTTGAAAAAAAAAAAGATAGATTATTCGATTCGTGATCTCATAATTTAGTGGATTTCGGCTTTAGTGTAAATGAATAAAAATAATCTAAACATCGCGTCAAACAAGTAATAAGACGAAAGAAAATAAAATACTTAGTGGACCGTAAAAAAAAATAATCATGGTCTCGTAAAAATCATCGGAATGCGTGAATAATATTTAAAATAAAAACCATTAAATTTCTAAGCCGGCCGAAATTACTTTCTTAGGAAAAAATCTCGCATAAAAGTACGCCTTTTAGCGCATACATACGCGTGTACATATGTTACATAGGCCCGACCACATACGACTATTCCACGAAACCGAATGCGGATACAAAAAAGTATTAAAAAGCAAATCAGTGCGAGCGCGTTAACGACCAGATTAGCCAGAGCTGAGACGCTTCTCGTGTGCGAGAGCTCATAATTGCCTCAAGAATTTTACGAGATTTCGGCGTTTTGCGGGTGGAAGGGAAGCTTGTCTTGCTTGTATCGCCGAAAAACCATTAATCATTGAGCCAGAGATACGAGGAAGAACGACGACTCATTACTTGAGAATGTAGGGGAAAATAAAAACGTTGAAGTTTATATTTCTTTGCGCAAAAGTTCTAAAGGATAAAACGCAAAAGGATACACGCTAACCAGGATGGGTTTGGTACCTTAAGGCTTTTTTTATACTCTATCTTTAAAAAGTAGATGTAGATTGATTGCTTAATACCTAATGTCGGTTACGTTGATCGTTAGGATTTTGTTAACAGTAGTTTTCAAACTGAAGCTATGTATAGCTGTTGTCTATGGTTGATGAGAAAATGAGGAAAAAAAAAAAAAAAAAAAAAAAAGGTATTCACAATAAGGTATATTTTTTTCTGATACCAGTACCACGGGATTCTTATGCATGTAATTACCAAGAATGAAATTAATTTAATCACGTAATCTTATTTCTCCACATTTGTCTATTAGATAATGTCTAACTTGGGGGGGCTAGCAGAGCTTTTTGTTTATTTTCTAAAATAGTCAAAAATTTGAAAAATTGTTGAGAAAAATGAATTTTTTTAAGTTTTCAATAAACTTGTTAGGTATCTGCACGGCAGCCTTTAAATTATCAAACCATAAATGTACCACAAAAGTTTATTCTAAAATTTTATATCCGGAATACTCTGAATTTATTTTAATTACTCATTTTATTTGAAAACATCAATTAAATCTTAATTGTAAACTATAAGTTGCAGAATAAAAATTATAAGTTTCATTTGTCAAAAACATATATTTTACATGGAATGCAAACGTTAAACGTGTATAGGTAATCGTTTACAGTATTTAAAGAAACTTAAATAAGTGCACGTATAAATTTCATACAAAGCTATCTAACTGATTTATAGGTATATTTAAACTCAATTTTTTACTAAAACATATAACTTAATATTTTATTGGTAATTTTGTATTAAAGTGGAATGTTTTTGCAAATTCTTTATTCAAATTCTTGGAAGTAGTGCTCACTCAAATTCAAGCTTCAATATTCAAATGCAAGCTTGAAAGAATTGCATAAAAATTTAAAGAGTTTATTTCTAACAAAAAAATTGTGACAAAACGAGGACCTTTACATTCGTTAGGTAAGATTAAATTATTCGATTGTGCAGTATTTTTTCAATTTATTCGATGAAATTACAACAATTAAAATAAAATATGTTCGCAATAAAAACAAAATCTGCGGGAATGAAATAAGTGTGTCTTCTAAAATGAAAACAATCATACTAAACACGATGGTTTAAAAGGAAATATTGAAATAAATGAGTTGTAACATTTAATATGATGGAAAGCTCTATTAAATGTTTTACACATTTTTCTCAGTTGCATTTATTTTTATCGATGATGTAAGAGCAAATGATTTTTCAGCTCCAAAAGTCGAACGAAGGTCAGCAAACATTCGGTGCAGTGGTGGACGTGCACACAGCCCAAGTGCTCAGTCAAATTGCTTCGTTTAGCGAAGGTTCGTGAACACTCATCGCATCTGTATGGCTTCACACTCAAATGGGTCTGCTTGTGCTCTTTAAGATGCTTCTTCTCACAAAACGCTCGTAAACACAATTCACAAACGTAGGGCCTCACTTCTGCGTGGGTCCTCAAATGCGCTCTAAGATTATATTTTGTACGGAAAGTTTTTAAACACGATTTACAGCCAAAGGGCTTGTGACCCGTGTGGATCCGCTTGTGCACTGCAAGATTGCTCCTGTCACTGAAAGCTCGTGAGCACACTTCGCAAGTGTATGGCTTCAAACCCGTGTGGGTCCGATTGTGAATTATAAGATGGCACTTTTGGGAGAAAGTTTTCAAACAAACTTTGCAGTCGTAGGGTTTCACATTTGAGTGGGTCCGCTTGTGCACCACAAGGTGGTTTTTCACTCTAAAATCTTGTGAACACACGTCACACGTGTAGGGCTTCGAACCCGAATGAATCCTCTCGTGCTCTGTGAGATGGTACTTTCTAGCAAAAGTTTTCGGACATAGTTTGCAGCTATGGCATCGATTGACTGAGTGGACACGTTTGTCTGTCTTTAAATTATGATTTGGTCCGAAAGCTTTTCTAAATTCATCTCCAAGATGGGAATTGCTGCCTTCAGCCATACTTGTGAATTGTACGTCAAAAGAGCTTGCATCAACTAAAATTCGATTGGCCCAGTAAGTAGGTGATTTGGTATAATTTATCGGTGATGTATCTACTCCTTTACGAAAAATGATCCGTTCAATGATTCTAAAAGAAATTTTCATAACATTATTTTTATGTCTTGCAAAGGAAACATATTTTACCTAAAAGTATAAGGAGTGTCGTAATTATCTTTAAACGCGCGTAAAATACTCTTTTGTAGGCCATTTTACAATCATAAAGTATTGTGAAATTCAGGATAATTAAGTTGTTTCTTACAGGACTTTTACCACGATTTATGGGAAGAAAATAATTTTATCACCCATGATTTTAAAATACCAACAGAGAAATAAAGAAAAATCTCTAAAAATTAAGCTTCACGGGCAGACGTATAATTATTTTTTACTATATTCTATTTACCATTACACTGCATACCCTTGAAAACGAAATAATTATTGATTAAAATATCATGAATAAAGAAAATTCGAGCTCATCGTTGGCGCACTTGGTAGTCTCAGAAACAACACATAAAACACACTTTCTTCAGCACTAGAAATGGACGTCATGTTATAATAGATAAGTAAAAGCAACGTACCTTCAAATTTTGTGGTAATCACCATCAGTGCCAACTTGAATTTCCAAACGATCACTCTGGTTATGCTTCGTCTGTTATGTATATTTTCTAAGCTGCTGTTATATGTTGACTCGACAATGAACAGGACTAAGACTAAAAAATATCGAATGAAATAAAGTAACAAGAAAGTCACTTCTAAAATCAACTTGGAAATATCCAATGAATGGACTAAGCACGACAGCTGATTGTTAGTCACTCTATCTCTATTCCTGGACAAATTAATTAGTGATAACTTCATAAAGTCAAATCTTTAAAATGATAAGAGCAACACTACTTATCGTACTATAATAATTTTTTTTGTGCTTGTCAAGTCAATTAGAAACGAGCAGTTTTTCTATGGTACGCCGTACACTATTTTTAATACAACACGAACGATTAATTGAAAAATCCATTAAACTCCAATTTTGTTAAAGCACACTTACTACATCACTATGTATACATACAACTGCCACTTGAATAATAATCAAAGAATCCTTAAGATCTTGTGCCTCAACAAGGTACCAATTTTTCGTTTCAGTGGATTAAAGTTGTATGAAATCAAACATTTGTAACTCTTAAATCCCTTTTTATCCTGCCCCTCTTCATAACTAATTTTCTTGTAGAAATATACAGGAAAAACTCTTATCTTATGGATATTTTCAAAGTATTTCGTACATAATAGTAAAAAATTTAAAAAAAACTTGAAAATAAAGTAAAATTTTAGAACATACATTAATATTAGTTCTATGTCATTTCAATGAATTATTTTCGAGGGAAAACATATTCCTTTAATAAGATAGACTGGGTTATTATTCATGAAATGGTCAGACGTCAACTCAATCATGTATTTTCGTGCAACTTGATCATGTAGACGATTACTGGTTACGTTTAGGATAAAATTCTACCGCAGCTGATGATAAAACACCACGTATGTAATATTACAACTAACATTTCTAATTAATAATACTTATTTCCAGCCGATAATGTCTGAAATGCATTGGTAATATCTTCTTTGCCGTTACGTAATGTTATACGGTAGTTTTACAGCTTATACGTCGAATTTCACAAAATTGTTCAGATTTTAAAATAATAATAATAATATATTAATTAATTACAATGTAAAATACACATATGTATATTAAAAATAGCTGGTTTTGCCTTTTGCATAAGGAAAAAAGAAAACAAATGGCAATATCATCCATACCAAGATAAAACCTCTCCATTGTTTCCTCGGCAAAGATCAACTTTTCGAAATCATTAGTCTCCCGAGCTCCTTCACACCGTGAAACCCCGAGATACACGGGAATCTTTGAAATATCGACAGTGCATTCCATTGTCCGTTCAAGTCCGGTATGTATACACCCGCGAGCTCCAGCTTTACCGGTCCACAAATCACGGGGAGCAAGAAACCTCGCATCGGTCATTTCGCTCGGCTGGCAGGCTATAAAGTTCGCACTCGAGCAAGTCCTCAAACAATATGACCCCGTCCGGGGCCGCAATAACAGACCGTATCGAAGGGTTTCTCGGGGAGAGGGAACACGAGCGGAAGTAGGAGCATATTCCCGCGGGTACCTCCGTATGGGCGTTTCTTCAATATTTTAAAACCACCTGCGTAAAGTACGACATTTTACGGCGTTAGAAAAGACAAAAGAAAGGAATTCTGCTCCTCGAGCATCAAATGGCTTGTAATTGAATCGTTTGTTTACCAACAATAATACACATTTTTACATGTTCTACATAAAACCATATTCCTTCAAGCAACAATTGGGTCAGAAAAATAGGTAAAAATAGGAAGAAGCGTGGTAGACGGCCCTTCGAATCACTTTCCGAACCAATAGCGCATAAAAACCATTATTTACGACAAGAGCGTCCGAACCCGCGTTCTACCAAAAACCTATTAAAGTTATTACTGTCCTGGCAACCATGTAGTACGCGTTCCTCGAGGAAAAAAGTGCACCTTTCACGAAAAAAGCTCGTTGGACGTATGCGTGCACCACGTAAGCGTCGGGGGTATCTAACCTCTATGGCTTCCATCCACTCAACGCTCCTGTACAGTTTTTATTTCCGTGAGACACTGCTGGCTTCGAGTGAGAAAAGGGCCACAAATCTTCTAGCCCCTCTCTCGATGGACAGTCTTTTCCTTGATGCGTGCGGGCATGCCTATACTTCTACATGTACCAGTAACCTCTTTGCGAGGGAATGAACCACGTGGAATGTTTATTAAAAGATCAGCAGTCCAAGTAGCATCAGTTACGTGGTTGCAAACAGCGATTCGGTTTCACGTCGGTGGTGGTGCACTTATCTGTTGTTAATTTTACTGTTGTCTTTTTGCTTTTTGTTAACATCTTCTACGTTATTTAAAAGCATACCTTTGTTTGTTCAAACTGTGCAAAGGTTTTACTCACGACAGATAGAGCTTTCAGGAAATCCAAGTGTGGAATGGTTGTCATCAGAAACGGTTGAATTTTAGATGAATTTTTTTACAATTTACTGTTCCTTCAAATTCCAATTGAGACAAGATGACAAAAAGCGACGAAAATATTGTTGCATGGTCTATTATTACGAGTGGAATTACTTCGACATACTTTGAGAACATAAGAAATCTTATGGAACAGAAAGAAAGAAAGAATATAAAAATAAAAAAATTACGAGGCATTCCACATTATCCAAGGATATTAACCAAAATACTCTCATAGAATATTTTTTCAATAGCATAGGTGATAAGGCAAGCATCAGGGTGAGTTTAGATGGAGTGTACCAGCCGTAAGAGTGAGAGATAGGTTCATCGCGTGACTAAATCTAACGTCCCTCTCTCTCACACACTTTTGAGTTTCAAGCCAATCTGGCAGACTCCCAGACTCCATCTAAACGCATGTTCATCCTCGCCCATTTTAAAGTTAAACGAAATAAAAAAAAAAAATCATGAAATATATTAAACCAATTTTTTACGCCAGTAAATCAATTAACTCAATAAATAATGATCAGATAAATTTTCATGAATTTGAGCTACTTTTGCTGAAATTCATCTGGTACTTACTTCTTTGCCTCGAGAGTCACGCATAAATAATGGTCATAAATCTGATGCATTGGTGTACTGTAGCAGTGACCTAATCGTTCCAACCGATGTATCGCTTAAATAACAAAAAAGTGAATTGATCTTGAGAAAATACCATTTGTATTGAAGCACATGGAAAATATTTTTATTTCGCATTTTCAAACAACTCTTGCAACACTTGTTAAACATTAGGCATCCAATCATCCTTTTTCAACATAAAGCACATAGAGCGACATACAGGCTGTTTTGTACGTACCCATTCTCCACGCATTTTCATTCATCATCGTACCGATTTTCCCCGACTAAACTCCACCAAAGTGCCGAACGCCCAACTGGGCCACAATAGGTACCTACCCCAACTCCCTCCCCCCGCACCATTGTCCAAAGCGATTCACCCACCCATCGACACCCAACATCAACCACAGCGCCGATTGCACTCCAGTTTTCTTTGCAACCCCCGCCCCTTCAACACCTCGAAATCCCGCAATTGAACGAAGCAATCGACCGAGAGAAGTTCCCGGCAACGAGGACCTTGTCTTCCCGGCTGCCTCGAAATTCGTGCAACCCAATATCAAAAGAGTAACGCTACACTTGTAGGTACAACGAGGTACAGCAGAAACAACAACAGCGTCTATAACACGTACAACATAGAGAGAGAGAGAGAGTGCTTGTCGTCCGTGTTTTGATCGGCTTCGTTACCGACTTCGTGGAAGCGTGTAACGCTACACGACGCGTGTGTAGCATCAGTCGAGACGAGAGAGGAGGATAGGTCGTCCTGTTTGACGTGTCCCGCGGTAGTAGTTCTTCTCGAGTTCAAAAAATAAAGTGAAAATAAATTATACAGTATGGAAAGGGAACTCACCGTCCTCGAATATGGATCAGATCAATCGAGCTAGATTAGGGAGACAAAACGCGATAATACACGCGTATCATTTGCCATGAAATTACTGAAAGAACACGAGTAGAATTGAGATAACTATAATTGAGCTCTGATTTTGATGCTGGGGTTAAAAAATTAAGGTGAAAAATATTTTTCAAGCGATGGAAAGTGTTTTTTTTTTTCATTAAACAAAATCCAGGGATCATTGTTTGATTTAATAGGGTTCCAAAGAGAACGTTTCCATACGTATTATATATCACTCAGTACTACTCTAAAATTAATGGAAATGGAAAACATAGCCAACAAGCACGAATCTCCCTCATCATTCAAAATATATGAAAAAAATGTGAAAATCACGTTTGATTGTTAATACCACCTAACTTATTCATACAAACATTCAAAGTCGTATTATTTCCCAAGCTGAATGGCCGAT